ACTATATGCTTGAAAAATTCCTAGTTTTATTTTAACTCCTAGAGTTAAAATAAAATTTCCATAAACAAACTCCCACATTCTATTTTGTTCAGAAGTACATTTAATAACTATCTAATAACTACTATAGATATAACAACTATCTATAAAATAGAAGAATATTTTTTACAGTGTGATGTGAGACAATTATTACTTTGTTATAGAGGTCTGCTTCTGGTGTCTATTTTAAATCACACTTTACCCTTCCCTGTGACTGCCTGCAACAGGGAGTCTTTTCCCACCGTTCCAGTGGTACCTGCCCCATTACTAATACAAGAGGCTTAGGGATCTTATAGCTCCTAATATAAATTATTTATGTCTATTTACATTCAGAATCATAAGCAAGCCTGTTCTAAGCCTAAAGAAGAGGAAAAAGAAATAAAAATTTTTTTAAAAAAATCAAGATCCTGAAAGTGCAAGCTTTGTCAAACATAGATTCTTTACTCAAAACAATGTGCTGTAGTCAACCAAAAAGCTTATTCAAGATTTTAAGAGTAATAAAATGTAATAATTATTTATTTATCATTATATATTTCCTTGATACTTCCTTATTGGTGGATTCCTCATTAAACATGTTGTAAATTTCTGGTATGTATTTAAGCCTAAAACATTCCTTTGTTAAAAACCCAGTACGTGGGACACAGTTTAATTCCCCCTCTTGTAATAAAGAGCTGGATGACTGAAAAAGACAGCAGCCCCCGAATCGTGAAGTAATAGTAAACAGGAACTTTTAATTAAAAGTTTGATACACAGAATAAATGTGGATACCTACAAAAACCTGAGTGTTACCAAGAATACTATGAATTGCTGAGACTAAGGATTATTCTATTTAAAGGGGAACAGAAATTAGATTAGTTGATTATCTGTCAGCCATCCAACTTTTCCCAGGGAAGGGGAGAAGAGGGAGGAAGGCAGCAATAAAACGTGCAGATATTGTAAATCACTGCCTTAGGACAGAGTTCCACAGACAGCCTAAGGAACTGAAACTTTCTCTTTTCTCCAGAAGGTGCTATAAAGCAGATTTTGGAAATAAAACCACAGCCCCTGGTAGAGATATATAGATATATCTTGATCTGCAAACATTAACTGGACCACTCTCACTGTAGCTCAAAGCGAACACGACCTCAGCCTTCTCTAAGAGCAGGTCTCTAAGGAAGCGTATATGTTGTTGCCAAAAGAACCAAGATTTTGCAGAAGGTGAATTTCAGGCTTTTCCCCTCATCGAGCACGCAGCAGTAGCTGAGCTATGGACAAACGGTTAACCTCTGGACACGGATTTTACAAATGAACACCGAATTTCTGCAAGGTGTGGGCGAAGAATTAACCATTTCGGATCTAGTCACAACCAATCTAAATTACTCAGACTCTAGAAAAAGGAATGACTGCAACACCTTAAGTGAATTCCAGAATTTTTCTTCATTTGGTGGATCGGGAGAGAGAACAAGAAGGGGAAAAAAAAATTTTAAAAATCAGCAAACTAAGAGGAAAAAAAAGTAATTCAAAATTTGAATTATTGAGTTATGTTCCCATTAAAAAAAAAACAGTGACAAATTCCTACATTGGCTATAAGGACTGATGCACTCGCAATGATTTTAGAATGTGCAGGGAAAATAAACCATGTGTGATTAATTCTCATGTCAGAAGACCCCCAATAGTTCTTAATCTGTAACTTTAGCTTTATGGTGCAAGTTAAACCCTACGGGTGAGAAAATTGAGCCAACGCCACTTTTCAAATCGAAAAAAAAAGTGACAAATTCCTACATTGCGAGTGCATCAGTCCTTACAGCCAGTGATTTTAGAATGTGCAGGGAAAATAAACCATGTGTGATTAATTCTCATGTCAGAAGACCCCCAATAGTTCTTAATCTGTAACTTTAGCTTTATGGTGCAAGTTAAACCCTACGGGTGAGAAAATTGAGCCAACGCCACTTTTCAAATCGTTTTATCCACTCCCCAGGCTCTCCTAAACAATCCTCCAGCTTTGGGGGCGAGGAGGGACTTTTCAAGTGTACCTGAGCATAACTGCTGCTTGCTAGGGAGTATATCCTGTTACAACCACCTATCCTGCTGGCTAAAAAATAAAATAAAATAATTCTTAACTGCACTTGAATCTGTATCACAGTCTTATGGGGGAAAAAGAATAAAATCACAAGTCTTGCATCCTATTATTTCACCTGTTGATACCTGCTAAGTTCTCAGGTTGGACAATTTTCTAAGCAAGACCTAGAAAATTTCCTAAGACTGGGAACCTTCTCTAGAAATCAATCAATTACTCCCAAACCCAACAATAGTTTTGCTGTGGGTTTGTTTGGTTTTTTTTCTTAAGGAGGATTGTATTTGATGCACAGAAGTGGAGAATTTAATAACTATTTTAGATCTACTGACCTCTCAGTTTGTTATCTTCTCCGCCCTTACTCTGCCCTCCCACCTCCAAACCCACAGCACTTTCATCATAACCCAGGAATCTACCAGGACAATACCCAGTCTATACCTTTATTCAAAAATGAATTAACGATAAGATTCAGTTTCTAAATTAACGAACTCATTTAATACTGCAAGATTATTATGAACACTATTCAATAAACCATGACAGAAATGCAGTCAAGAGCTGGTGCTGCATATAAAATAACTCAACCTTTCACACAAGCACAACTAAAATTTCTTTTGCAAAGTCATGCTTCTCTAATTTTAATTTCAAACTGAACTGCATAAAACTTTACCCTTTTTAAAACTACATAATACATACGAAATCCCCACCATTTTTACCTTGGTGTGAACTAATTACAACTGCCAGAAAGAACAACGAGAACAAGGAAATAATTTTAACCTAAACTAATAAAACTAAGAGAGGAACACATCACTGAGAATTAAACCAAAGGTGGGAAAAAGGCAGAAAAATAAAAAGAACGTTTAGGTAAACCCAAAGCTACCTGCTCAAGGAAAAGCACGTGCACAGCTTTAAAAAGCTGTAATAAAACAAGAGTGTCAACATGTGCTTCTTTGTACAAGTAGGGGAAGATATTCAGATGCCTTGGATGCTAAACCCAAGTGGTTTTACCCGGTAACTCGGTGACTCGCTGGAAGTGAGGGGGGCTGACGTCACACAACGGTGTCATTGCCCTCTCAGGAAAAGCAGCTTTGAGCTGTCACCAGCAGAAAGACGTTCATTTATAATTTTCTTTCTGACAGCATTAGAGTTTGCTCAAATGTGTAATTCGCTGTCAAGGAAAATTGAGTATTGGCCCTTTTCCATTGAGTGAGGGAGGGGTAAGGAATGGATTGGGGCTTTTTTACAAAAATCTAATCTCTGAAAAGGACTAAAATAAACCAAGGTGGTGTTTATTTTTTGGTTTTATTTTTCACAAAGGCACCAGACTTGTAATAAATAAAATAAGAAGTGTTATGGGTTTCTATGCAGAAGTCACACAGCCTACAGTTCCAGTGTAACACCTTCATGCGTATCAAGCAAGTTTATTCTCTCTTCCCTTCCCTGTTTCCAAGGCCAATATAATGAATATTTCCCCATCCTGAGAAACCAAAGTGGCCCAACATATCTTAGTGTAGCCACTAACAGAAATGAGCCATGGAAAGATACCATTCTAGAAAGAATATATACTCCCTATATCTATATATTCATTTCTATAAAGAGTTTCTCCTCCTCAAGCCTTCAGGTATTTAAAACACACAAGGAACTGAAGAGCTAGAACTGGATTTTTCCTTTCCGGGTCAAAATCATCTGTTTTATCCAGCTCCTCTTGGTTTCACGCAAAGCCTGCGCGAGCATGAAGGATGTTCTGCCACCACCAAGGAACGGAGCAACGCCCCTGTCTCGAGCTCTGTTACTCTCAAGATATCAGCACTCCTTTCAGGTTCTAAATAAATAGATTTTTGCTCTCAAACATTAATTTTTCCTTGTTCCCCCAAAAAACAGTTTAAAAAATCTAGGAAAATAGATTAAATTAAGCTGGAAGATGATCAAAATTCTGTAACTTGCTGTAAAAATTGGGAAAATAGGACAAAATGTGGCATGTTATCAAGGAAAGACGGTGTCAAGCTGTCCTGCTATCCTTGAAACGGGCAATATACCGGAGGTAAGGCAGCCAAGGAATCGAAGACTTATTCCAGGGCTAGCTTTATTTCACATTTTCAGTGGTAACAAAATACAATTGCAGATATACCACAGACCTGAAGGTGAAGAAAGAGCCTTCAAAGCCCAGTACATAAGGAAAGAGAGGATTTAAAGTTTAAATGCATCTCAAATGTAGTTTTCAGGACAAGACTAGGCCTAATGAAACAGAAATAATTGCTGATGGGACAGAATGTACATTTCTGAATCGCTATTTCAATTCCCTTCCGGAGCGACAGAAGTCACTGTGGCTTTGTCTGCTCAGGAGAAACTCGCTCTCACAACAATGGAGATTTGTGAGACCTACAGTAAAGATTTTTTTAATTTTATCTGGATTTCTATAAAAAAATTCAGTGTCAAGGTCAGGAAGAACAACATAAACCATGTTACAAAAACAATCTGAACTGAACACGACTATGGACAAATCAGTTGTCTGGAGGCCTAAATTCTCTGGCATTTCAAGAATAAAATCCATGAAACCACAGCACTACAGTCACAAGGGCCGCAGAAGCAATCAAGCTGGTACAGAAGTACCAGTTGCAAGTATTTTAAGTTAGCAGTATCTGAGATCTGAACTAATTCAAGAGCATTATAAAAAAGAATGGCTGTCGAGGCAAGCTACAGAAGGTTTCAAAATAACCACAAAGGCGATTGATTTTTCCAAGCGTTCTCTCAATAGAGAGAACG